CCACTGCACTAATCTCTACTTAATGAACAAGCTATAGTGAGGTTTTGTAAGGAAAATTACTTACCTCAAATCATATGTATGATCAATGAGTATAAACCAAAAACAAACGAACGAACAAAAGTTTGGAGAATCTAAAACATTAACAGTTTCTTTTTCTGGAATTATTGTATGTGAAATTTGATTTAGTTCATATAAATGTGTAAACGTATTCACGTATAAGCAAATTAAAGTCAATTAATTCCAGTTAAAACGATGTTATCACACAAATGAAGATTCTCTTGTCCAAGACAGATTCTGAACTATGATAAATGGCACTTCTCAACAAGTTGGCCTTGACCCCGTCAACTCGGACGACGCCACCTGGATCTTAACCGCCTCATTTGTAATTTTCACAATGCAAACAGGTAGGTTATTGTTCATTTCTGTTCACCTAATTTGTCTCCTAATTCCAACTTATTAACAGTCACAAAGATAGAACGTACAAAACGTGAAACGGAGTTCGTCTGTTCCTCGGCACAGTCGCCATTAATAATTATTTGAGTCGTTTTTTTTTTAGGAACTAGCCTTTCCTTCAAGAGCTGATAAAAACATAGTTAAGGATATTCTAAAAGCTTCCCGTAACCTGTTACAAAAGTAGACTTGTTTTGAATTTCGCCCAAAACTACTCAAGGGCTATCTGCTCTAGCCTTCCCTACTTTAGCAGCGATAGATTAGAGGAACGGCAGCTAGTCAACACCACCCAACGCCAACTCTTGAGCTGCTCTTTTACGAATAGTGGGAGTGACCGTTTGAAAGGGAGAGCATGTTCGAACCCTCGACCCTCAGATTTCGAGTCGAGCACCTTAACCACCAGGCCCAAGTACCCTTGTATACCAGTTGTACTAAGCCACTTCCAATTTCAAATCGTAAGGATGCAAAACGAGTTTAGCGTATTTAATATTTTTATTTCTCATCTATAGAACACTGGCAAACATGTTTTACATTATTCAGCGTTTATTAAGGCCTGAAAATCAGAGTTTTCATAGTTTGTAACTTTGAAAGTGATATTTGTTGTTTTTAGACTTAATAAAAGTAACCATAGTAGGGGGGGAAAAAAAAGTCCAGTAAAAAATTCCCAGCCTAATGTATCAACGATACCGAAAACTTGTATTTCACGATATGCAGAAAATATCTAAGCATGATGTAACGGACTGACTGCGCTTACGCAGAGCCATTTTTGTACTACCAGTATGGTATGAAAATGTATTATGTACCGTATTTTTGAATACCATGAACTACCGTATTTTTTGGTGTATAAGATGCACTTTTTTACCCCAAAATTTGATGTCAAAATCTGCTTGCGTCCTATACACCGAAGGTATGAATAGTATATACGATATACACAAGCCATGTGTAAATATATTTAAATAGGCATGCATAGTTTAGTTCAATTGAATGTGTTATTTATAACAATAGTAGTTTTTTTCTTTTAAAAACATAACTATTTATAATGCTCCCTTAATAATAATGAAATAAATTACAGTGAAAGCTTTTGTTTGTTTGTTTGTAATTAAGCACAAAGCTACACAATGGGCTATCTGTGCTCTGCCCACCACGGGT